GTTTTCCATTAATGATTGGTTTGCAAAATGCCAAATGCATAGGTCCAGTCCAGCAGGCTGATGCCAAGGAACTGAACTTTTTCTGGTTTAAAAACTGTTTGGTTCATTCTATTTGGTTAAGAACTCCAATTTTGACTGGTTTAATATATTTTATTTACTAGGAAAAAGCCATTTAGAAACAGTTTTTTTTTTTTAATTAAAATGCCTTATATGCTTTAACTAGCTAAGTTGCCAGCTAGTAGAATTTGAACAAAAAGAAGAAAACAATTTGAGTAACAGATACCAAAAAAATTCGGCTTAAAATTTTAATTTAATAAAATTAAAAAAATATTTTATATTTTTCGATAATAATATTATGTAAATATAAAAAATTATCAATATTTTATATGATATGAATACATAAATTATTAAATTTATATAATCTTCAAAATTTTGATTAGCATAGCTAATACTCAATTGGTAATTCATTCATGTTTAAAATAGAAAAAAAAAGTGTCTCTTATCATTAACGTGAAACTCCAACGAGTTTAATTTATATATAAAAGGTTAGTTTAGCTTAAATTACAATTTTAACTTTTGCAAAATTCATAAAATGAAAATTAAGCCAAAGCTTTTGGGTGCAGAGAGGGGTACCTTAAAAATTATTATTTGGAAACTTTGATAAATTGTTAGTTGAAAAATGCAAAGGAAGTGAGGTCCCAGTGGAGCCAACTGCTGGTGAAGGATTCATGTAATTTACTCATATTATTGTTTTTGGCATATGGCTTTTTGCTTTTAGGACTTATTTTTTAAGGTCACAATCGTACCTTTTGCCTAATGTTTAGTTCAAAGCCAAAAACGAAATATTGGAAGTTTCATAGTCATGGCTGGGGGCTAACTTGATGAAGTGGCAGCTCTTCTTATTGTCAATGAAGCTAATGCTTGTAAGGATGCCTTGGAAGGTATCCTAGGATATTCCTAGGTTAATTTGTTCAAATATTTTTTAAAATTGATTTGATTTCTTCAGAATTTTTTGTTTAACATAAGAAATCACAATTTAAAAATAAAAAAAATTAAAGATGCTAAAATTTGAACTGCAAATTTACGAAATGTTATTTTTTAAATATAATTGTATTAATTAATTAAATTTTAAAATTGTATTTTTTTAAAAAATTTTATTTTTATAATACTTTTTATAAAAATCAAATTGACAGAAATACAAACCTTTGAAGATTTTCTTCCATTATAATAAGAAAATCCATTATAAGAAACTCAAGCACCGGACCTTGCAATATCAAGAAGATAATATTCTTGCAATCTAGATGAAAAGGTTTCACATTCAAATCAAAGTTAAATTTAAAATTAAATTAGTTGTACCAAAATATGCTTGAGATCACATTGTCACTCCTTAATGCATTAATAATTTATTGATAAATATCATGATTCAATTTCTGATAAATTTAAATATCCAAAAAATAATTTTATCGATAAATAATGTGTCAAGAAGAGTGTTATTTCATTAATTTGTGTTGACATTTATATGCTCATCATATAGTACTAAATAAATAAAAAATAAATTTGAAGGAATATGGGAAAATTAAACTAAGTTTTTTTTTTTTATAAAAATTTGGAAAAAGTACAAATGTTTGAATATATTATGAAATTAAATCCAAAAACAAAAAGGGAAATCTATATTCTTTAGAAATGGTTGTAAATTTAATTAATTCTATTAATTTGGAATTTAATAGTAAAAATATTTCTTTTAATTGAAAAACAATAGCTAAATTTGTCATGAACGAAAACATGCAAGAGCAAATCTGACAATGGCAAATGACAAAGGCGTGAAGAACATTTTTTTTCTCCATGAGTTTTTAATAATTTCGAAAGAGACCAGCTAAATTTTTTAAAGCGAATTTGACAAATCATAAATCCAAAACAAATAATTAATAATTAGGCTTAACCTGCTAAACAGCTATTACTGACGAATAATACGAAACAAGGAAAGTGATATCAACTTAATTTTAGTTTTAATATATATTTTTTTAAAACAAGATGGATAACCTTGGTTAAAGCCTTTAACTTCGTTGGACCGTCATTTTCATTGTTTTCGACTTTAGGTTGGTGGCATAATCTTCAATTTCAGGTAAAAAAAAGGCATTATCCCTTCTTTTTCTTTATTTTTTATTTTTTTTGCAAAAAAATCACAATTTAATGATAATAGTGAAATCGTCGGTATTGAAATTTAAATTTGAATTCTAAATCTATTGATTTTTAAAAATGATTATATAAATTAATTGAATTAATTTTAATTTTTTTATTTGAAACTTAATGTTGCCTAGGTATTATTTGAAAATTAATGTTGATGGGTAATCAATTTTTATCTAATAAAAACTTATTTAATAAAAATAAATGTTTAAAAACTTAATTCGTTGCAATAAAACAATAAAAATATAAATAATTATTAAATTTTTGATCAAATGATTTTTTGACCTCTTAGTCAAAATTCTGAAATTGTGCACCTAATAAGCTAGCCAAAATAAACCTATTCTCAAATTTAAAATTTGAAAGAAGCCTCTAATTCTAATCTAATTTGGTTGTTATTATCAACAAAAAAAAAATCCAAATTTGTTTTATTGCTTGATGACTTGTTTAACCAAGTCAATTTTTTTTTATTGATCATGTATAATCCATGTTGAACATATAAATTAATATTACAAGCTTTGTCGGTGAAGTAATTAAACAAAAAATTGAAGGGACGAAACCCCCCGCCCCCACATTGTACGTTGGAATTAATTATATAAATAAACTAAAATAACTGAAATAAAAATAAAAAACAAATAAAAAATAAATCAACCAACAAAACTTTTATTATATGGCTTACTATTTTATTGCCGACAAAAGCATAACAAATAAGGACTATTAGTCGATCAATGAAATGGATCAATAATCATTAATGAAAAGTGTTTCAAAATTTTTTATGATAAATATTGATGGATTTTTCTTTGGTTTTTACTGGGAAAAATTTCTTATCATCAGCACGTTATGGGAAAACCATATGATTATTATTATTTTCTTATCATATGATTTCAAAATCAAATTAATGAATTAATAACTTTCTCAAATCTCTTCTTAAATATTGTTTGTGGATCGTGTAAATAACAATATGTATATAATTTGGGATTTAAATGGCACTATTTTTTATACATGCTTCTTTGTATTCGATCTATATTACATAAAATAATTTTTGATAAAAAAATCATTTTAAGATCATAGCATTTCACAAACTTTAATAAAAATTTATATTAAATTTATAAATCGTTTACTAATTATTGACAAGAAATTAAACTTTAACATTATAAATTAAGTATTCAATTTTTACGAACTCAATTAATTTTATTGGCTAACTAAAAGAATTTTGATGTAACAGAATTTAATTTTCTTTGAATAAATAATTGAAATCATTTGCTTATAAAAAAAATAAAAAATGTGATGTTATGAATCGAAATTAAGAGACAATTATTAATCAAAAGCAAAATCGTGTGTGGAGGCAATGCTAATGGATTCGATGCAGATATGTTGATCCATTTCGGGCCACTAATATTAATTGAGGAAGCAATCAACCAGGTATGGTCATATCTTTGTAAAGCACTGTAAATGTATATATCATGAAAAACCATAATGTAATAAAAACCCATAATTGCTTAAAACAAGATGAACAGAAGATGACTAGAAACTGATGATGATCTAAAAATCTTTGATATGTATTTGCAGAAAAGGAAAGAACAGGGCAAAAGGACCAGAAAATGCAACGTGAATATGACTTGAGCATTTAGCTAAAGCTGTGCCAACTGAATCGATCTGGATTTGTGTATAATGACCACGTTGCTTAGAAAAATTAGGGTTAAATTAGGGTTATTAATTAATTACTCTGACAGAGCATTCATTGTTATGATATTGACCAATCTGACAGCTAATTTATGACAAATAAATGAGGCCTGCATGTTTTCAAAAGATATAGAAATATATTTCTTTTATGATTTTGTCTCAAAATCTAAGAAATTGATCAACATTTTATGCTTTCAAAATTGCATTTTGAATGGTCAAAACACTTATATAAATAACACTAACACCAAAAAAATTTATTGGGATTGAAGTAATTTGAACAGATTTTGAGGGGGTGGTCCAAAAAGTGTTAGTAATTTTTTTTGTTTAATTTCTTAATCTATTTTTAATCTTTCATATTTTATATTTATATAATTAAAAAATATTATGTGTATAAATTTATTTAAATTCATAATTTTTAAACATCAACAAAAATTTTATCTCAATTAATTTAAATATCAATCTAAAAAAGTAATTAATTGACTTTTAGGACAACCATGCTCTAAAAATCTTGAATTATTATTTCTTGCATGAAAAAGAAATTCAACTTTAAATAAGTATTAGTGTCATTTTATATAAAAAAAAAGAGTTGCTTGGATAAAAAAATTTAAATTCGAAGTTTATTAAATATTATTTTTTGAAATGATCAAATAAATTAATTTAATTAAAATTTATATTTATATTAAATTTTCGGTTTTAACATTTTTTTTCTCTTTTGATGGAAGCTGGAATTTCGTGAAAATGCTGCAGGGCCACATGATTGAATTTCACGTGGCATTGCTTCATAATTGAGAAAGCACATGGAATAAGAGAAAAATAAAGAAAAACACTTCAATAAATTAAAAATTGAAGCCTTCCAATTGAATGGAAGGTGGCTACTGGCTATAAACGTGCATTTGTTTGCCATAAACGTGCAATTTTGAAGAACAAAAAAATCCCAATGAGAAATAGCACCGAAACCAGAAAAAATACCTAAAATAATAACATAACAGGTGGCCTGAATTATATCTCTTTGGAATTTTTTTTTCTTCCATAATTTTTTTTCTTTAATTGGTCATTCGAAAAAGTATTTAATTTCTCAAAAAAATTTATGTAAATTTGAACTGCCTGTCTCGTCTGACTTTGATCTTTGTTAACAGAAGCTTTGGTCACTTTCTCGACTGCAATGTGAAAAATTAGAATTCCTGGAAAGGTTAAAAACTGGAAAGGGTAATATTGAAAGAGTTTTGAATTATTTTATGCATATCAAATTTGATAATTTAAAATATAATATAAAAAATAATTTAAAAATGATACATTTAAAATTTAATAAAAATAAATAAAAATTTTATAATTTTTTATCGATATAAATTATAATACATAATTTTTAATAAAATATCGTATTAAATCGGAATTGTTCATAAAAAGATTCTGCAACTGGGAAATTAAAGAGATTAGTTCTGGGCTGATCATGCATGAAGAGGTGGGGGAATCCTGAAATCCTGATGATCTAAAGCAGTTTTAGATTAAAAAAATTGGGGAAGCCAGCTAGAGAAAACCCCATTTGCTGCATTAATCTAATAAAAAATAATTTGATTTGGTCCATTCTGACAGCTCTTCATCGACCACCATTTTTACTATATATACTATCATTTCATGCAAGGTTTTATCTCAGCAGAAACCAATCCCCCCTCTTCCTCTCCACATTCCTCCCCTTCCAAACAGAGAAAACGCTAAGAAAGTCTAAGCACATTGGCAGAGTTTGGTGTTCTTCAGTGATCATCCATGATGGTTCGGCGGGGGGTCGGTGTTGGCCCCAAATGTTAATGGCCTTGGCCATTGTTGTTGTTGCAAGCAATGTAGGTTCAGTGTCTGCAGATGCTTATCCATACTCTTCACCTCCTCCACCTTATGAGTACAAGTCACCTCCACCACCGTCTCCTTCTCCACCACCACCTTATGAGTACAAGTCACCTCCACCACCCTCGCCTTCTCCACCACCACCTTATGAGTACAAGTCCCCACCACCACCACCAAAACAAGAAGAGAGCCCTCCATACTACTATAAATCTCCACCACCTCCATCTCCATCACCACCTCCTCCATACTATTACAAGTCTCCACCACCTCCTTCACCATCACCCCCACCTCCATACTACTACAAGTCTCCACCACCTCCATCCCCATCTCCACCTCCTCCGTATTACTACAAGTCTCCACCACCTCCATCTCCATCCCCACCTCCTCCATACTACTACAAGTCTCCTCCACCTCCATCTCCATCACCACCTCCTCCTTACTACTATAAATCCCCACCACCTCCTTCACCATCGCCACCACATCCATACTACTACAAGTCCCCACCACCTCCATCTCCATCACCACCTCATCCATACTATTACAAATCTCCACCACCTCCATCACCCTCACCACCTCCTCCTTACTACTATAAATCCCCACCACCTCCTTCACCATCGCCACCACATCCATACTACTACAAGTCCCCACCACCTCCATCTCCATCACCACCTCATCCATACTATTACAAATCTCCACCACCTCCATCACCCTCACCACCGCCACCTTATTACTACAAATCCCCACCACCTCCAGTAAAGTCTCCTCCACCACCATATTATTATAAGTCTCCCCCACCACCTTCACCATCTCCTCCACGACCTTACTATTACAAGTCTCCACCACCTCCTCCACATCACATTTCACCACCATACTACTACAAATCGCCACCACCACCATCTAAATCTCCTTACTACTACAAATCTCCCCCACCACCAACTCCTTATTACCCTGCCCCTCACCCCCACCACCATCCACTCATAGTCAAGGTAGTTGGTAGAGTTTACTGCTACAGATGCTATGACTGGAGTTATCCAAAGAAGTCACACGACAGGAAACACCTCGAAGGTACAATTTTCTCATACCTTCTGATTCATTAGTATCAAATTTTAATGCATTGTTAATTGATCTATTTTATATTTGCATTTTTTATTAGCCTTTTTTTGTTTGTTACTTTCAATATTTTTTGAACTTTGTCATATGCTCTTGAAGTTTACGTAAGATCTCTTTGAACAACAATTAGATGCTACAAAATTTGGTTGATTTTTAACAACAATTTGATGCTAAGATGATTTTTGCCTTATATTATTGCACATGGAGCAGGTGCTGTTGTGGAAGTGACTTGCAAGGTTGGAGAAAAGGAGATCAATGCCTATGGAAAAACGAAAAACAATGGCAAATTCAGCATCAGAGTTGAAGGATTTGACTATGCTAAGTATGGAGCCGAGGCATGCAAGGCCAAGCTCTCCGCCCCACCCAAGGACTCACCATGCAACATTGCCACTAGTCTAAACTGGGGCGACAAGGGTGCTAAGCTCGAGGTGAAGTCAAAGGACGAGTATGAGGTTGTGCTCAAGGCTGAGCCATTTGCTTATGCTCCAAAGACTCCTTACAAGGAGTGTGAAAAGCCAAAACCCAAGCCGCCATCTCCTTACCACTATAATTCTCCACCACCACCCACACACCCTTACATCTACAAATCCCCACCTCCTCCATCTCCTCCATCACCTACATATGTATACAAGTCACCACCACCTCCATCTGATCCATACAAGCCACCACCATACTACTACAAGTCCCCACCACCACCACCTCCGACTTACATCTACAAATCACCACCACCACCAACCCCCACCTATATTTACAAGTCACCACCGCCTCCACCATACTACTATAAATCCCCACCACCACCAGTCCATTCTCCACCACTACCATACTATTACAAATCCCCACCACCACCATACTACTACAAATCGCCACCACCTCCTTCACCATCTCCACCACCACCATATTACTACAAGTCCCCACCACCACCAGTCCACTCTCCACCCCCACCATACTATTACAAGTCTCCACCGCCACCAGTCTATTCCCCTCCACCACCATACTACTACAAATCACCACCACCTCCTTCACCATCTCCACCACCACCATATTATTACAAGTCCCCACCACCACCAGTCCATTCCCCTCCACCACCATATTATTACAAATCACCACCACCTCCAGTAGAAGCTCCAGCACCAACCTACCACTACAACTCTCCTCCACCACCATCACCGTCCCCTCCTCCTCCCTACTACTACCAATCTCCACCACCTCCATCTCCATCACCACCACCACCATACTACTACAAATCTCCCCCTCCCCCATCACCTTCTCCCCCACCACCGTATTACTACAAGTCCCCACCTCCTCCATCCCCCTCACCCCCTCCCCCATATTACTACCATTCACCTCCCCCACCAGTGAAGTCACCACCACCTCCACCTCCAGTCTACATATACGCTTCACCTCCACCACCAACTGTCTACTAGGTCCAAAAAAATCAACCACAAAATTACAGTGTTCATGTAAGTAATATTATAGTTAAACCTGTTATTACTTAGTTAAATCTATTGGTTAATTTCATATTCTAATTCATTGTCTATATATGTTAAAATTTCAGGTTCTAGTTTTACCAAAAGAATAAAGAAAGGCACCAAGGAGTGGAGATTTGGACATCAAACTTTTTCAATTCCATTGAATAAAGGTCTGAAAATTGCATTTGAGAGCTACAATTTTGGTAATCCAAGCCATATAACTTCCACTTCTCTGGTGGCCATAGTACACATGCTCTTAATTTGTTCTAGTGGCATTGGAAGAAAGCGTTGTTCAATACTTTTTTTAATTATATTGGTTTCAGCTAATTTATTTGTCCATAGATATGTGGCCTTTATATGATTAATCGTTTCTATTTATTGTGGGCATGCATTTGTAATTTTGTGGATCTTTGTTGTACTATGTTTACTGAGATTTATAGCAATAAAGGAATATATTTCTTTGTCACAATATATGTTTTCCTCTTTCTTAATTTCTCTCTTTTTTTTCTCTTCCCTCTCCGATGCAAATGCAATGCTTTGCAGCAACACTTTTCTCTAATTAACTAGAAGCAGTGCAGTAACTTAAAATCAAAGTATATAGCTAATTGCTGTATGATCCGATAGTAAAATATTAAAATTTTAATTTCAATAATCAGATTCAGCTTTTGATATTTGTAATTACAAAAAAATTTTAAAAAAAGCACAGTAGACTTGCAGATATGATCACTAGGATGGTTGAATTGCTCAATTATAAAAAAAAAAAAAAATGATTCAAGAATTTCTCAATTGAATTCTTTTTTTCACATAAAAGGCAGAGATTCAAAATTTAAACTCATATCATTTCAAGTGATAATTAATAAATTAAATGAAAATTGTTTCTACGAAAGAAAAAAAAACCAATAAACTTTAGAAGTCAAATAACAAAAGAATTAGTATTTGATTTACAGGCAATATAAAATTTTAATTATATAAATAAAATTAAAAAATAACACATATCTGTTATATATATTTTAAAAAATTTTACACTATCAAGTAATAACTCTTAAAAGTTTACATATGGCAAATTTCTCCAAGACAAGACATAAGCACTTAGCCATTGATGGAGTCATAGTGCCTGCCGTATGCTTTCAGCCAGCATATTCCAAAATAATATTACTATATCTCTTTCGATTTCTACTCAAACTCTACTATTTGTCTATATCTCCCAGTGGGTTGCAGCTTTTCTTATATTATTGCCAAACAGCTTCTTCCAATCTGCATTCTCCCTGCAAAAGTGTCAGAAACAACAGAAAAAGGACAAATAATCTTCTGGGAATTAACGAAGCTTGCATGACTTCTTCATGTTCTAGAAATGAAACATTCCCACTTTAATTACAGGGGATGGACCACCTCTCCTTCTATTCGAGCTGATGTAATTTGATCATTCAAATATTACTATCATATAAAATATTTAAATATCTATATATATTTATATTATATTTTATAAAAAATTATTTATTATAAGTTATATGAATACGAAATAATTTTTTTTTTATTTTATTAAATTTATTTATAATTATTATTAAAATTTTAAATTATATAATTTATCGTATTATATTTATATTTTATTATCGTATCATATTTTACATTATTAAATTTACTATAGGCAAAGGGATCTAAGCCATATCAATAATTCATCTTTTTTATTAAATGGAATATTAATTCAATATCAAGGCTTCTGTAATGCTAATAAACAGTTTTTGATAACCTTAAATTGTTATTTATTATTATATTCGTATTATATTATCATATTATATTTTATATTATCAGATTTAATTTGAGCGAGATCAAAATATACTTAAGCCATATTAATAATTAATTTTTTTATTAAATGTAATTTGAATTCTCTGCCAAGGCTTTTTGTAAAGCTAATAAACAGTTTTGGTTGAGGGTAATTAATGTTAGGATTAATTTTTTTTAAACGATAATAAAATAATTGTAAAAAAAATTAATAATTCACTACGTTCACTTTGTAGTGACAATAAAATTGTGTTCGAAAATAAAGACAAGCGCAATAAATAATTAAGGTCAAGATAATAATTAGGTTAACAATTAGTATTTAGATTAAGCGTTACTCTTAATATAATAGTTTTACATTAATGTTACCATAACTAAAAGTTTTCCAGCCACACACTTAAAATAGGATTAAATATAACGGTGTAAATTAGCGAATTATTATGCTATTCACGAGCTATTTTATTAGACTTGTTGCATGAGCCATTTGAACAATAATTCAGGGGCAAATTTTGAGCTTTGTGTAATATTTTTTTTAATTAAATATTAAAAAAATTCTTGAATTGTTTTATTTTTTTAAATAAATTTTTATATATTTATTATATTCAAATGAATTATTATTCTTTAATTCATATCTGAATTAAAAAAAAAAGATGAGTTATGTTAAGAGTTTATTTAAATATAAATTAACGTGTAAGGATTTGTTCAAGTAAAATAGTAAAGTTCAAGATTATTTATTTTAGCTTTCTTTCAAGCTTTTGAATTTTTAAAAAATATTTTATACATAATTGAAATTATATACATATTAATTTACACAAATTAAGTTTAATTTTTATTCAAGTTTCAAACCATACTCGAAATGATGATAATTAAGTTTAAATTAAATTGAACTTGATTAATTTAATTTTTTTAATCAAATTAGAATAAAAAATTCATAAATCAATTTTTTTAAGCAAATAAATACAACAAATATGAGTACACTAATCATCTTGAAAGTAAAGAGATAAAGATAAAGAATCAAATACTTAATTTATAGAGGTTTAGTCTTTCTTTTACAGTATGTTTGGATTAAGGAAAGAGGAAGGAAAGGAAAGTAAAGTAAAGTAAAGGAATGTATAGGAAACAAAACCCCTTCCCTTGTTTAGATAAAATTTTAATTTAAAGAAAGGGAAAGAGTTTGGTTTCCCTTGTAAACCAAATAACCTTTGATTTTCCTTGTAAACTTAATTTTTTTAATACCCCAATTTGGAGGAAAATTTAGGGAAATGAAAGTTGAAAATTATTTTTTTTTATAAAAAGACTATTATATACATCTTTTTATTAATACTAAAAACCTAATAAAAAAACTTAAGTAGATAACAATCATCCTATAATTTTTTTAAAGCTATCTCTTTTTTCAAGTAAGTTTCACATATCTTTTCCAATATAAAATTTTTTTATAATTTTTTGGTAATTTAATTTTGATGAATGGTTGAATATGAATAAATATATTTTTTAGGTTTATGAGATAACTAATTAGCTCAAAATCCATCAATGCATATTTATAAAATATCTTTCTATTTCACTTAATTAAAAACTATTGATATAGCAGCAATTGTAAGACTAGACAAGATAGCAAACATATCATGATTTATGAGTGCCTTAAAATCACAAGCAATAAAAGGTTATAATTGGAAAAAAATATTATAATGAATCATTTCCTTTCTTTTTCACTATTTATCCAAACAATGGTTGTTAGAATTCTTTTTTTTTCTTTATTAATTTTAATTATCAAAAAAAGGGTTACATGTATCATTTCTTTTCCTTTACAAAACTTTCTTTTTCATTATTTTCCTTTCCTTTATTAATATTTATCCAAACATACCATTAGGCACTAATCTCCCTTAGTCTCACTTGCAAGGAGTCTAATTTACTATGTGTTATGTTAAGAATAATAACTCAAATCCTATAACACTATATTTGGATAAATATTAATAAAAGAAAGAAAAAAAAAGGAAAGGAAAGGAAAATAAAATTTTTTAAAGGAAAAGAAAGGATACATGTACCCCTTGTTTGGATAATTAAAATTAATAAAAGAAAAAAAAGAAATGAATTCTAACAACCATTGTTTGGATAAAGAGTTAAAAAGAAAGGAAATGATTCATTATAATAATTTTTTTCAATTATAACCTTTCATTGCTTGTGATTTTATAGTGCATTTTTGGATCGTAATATGTTTGCTATCTTATCTAGCCTCATAATTGCTACTATATTAGTAGTTTTTAATCAAGTTAAACAAAAAGATGTTTGACAAATATGCATTAATAGATTTGTTGGCCATTATCAAAATTTCAACACATTATCACTTTAACATCTCATAAACTTAAAAAAATATGTCTATTCATATTCAATCATTCATCAAGGTCAAATCACCAAAAAATTATAAAAAATTTTTATATTGAAAGAGACATGTGAAACTTACTTGAAAAAAGAGATGACTTTGAAAAAATTATAGAAAGATTGTGATGTGGTTAGGTTTTTTTTTACTAGGCTTTTGATATTAATAAAAAGTTAGATATAATAGTCTTTTTACAAAAATAAAATTTTTTTAGCTTTCCTTTCCTCAGCTTTTTTTCCAAATTGGGGTATTAAAAAAGTGAAGACTATAGGAGAAACCAAGGGTTATTGAGTTTCTATCTCTTTTCTTTTCTTTAAATTAAAAGTTTATTCAAACAAAGAAAATGTTTTTCTGTTTCCAGTACTTTCTTTTATTTTATTTCCCTTTCTTTCAATCCAAATATACTGTAAGAGATTTATTTTGGATTTATTAGAGATTTGTTTGTGATTGGTCAGATATTACTTGATGGACAAAAAGACTTGCAAAAGAAAAATTCTAAGAGAAAGATGATTTTTAATAGGTAAGTTTGATTTACAGGAGAAGAATTCTAAAAAAAAAGAAAATTTTTAATATATAAGTTTATATGGTTATAAATAAGTGAAGTCTCTACAGGGTTAGGTACGAGAAAAAAATATAAAAGAGTTATAGAATTTTATGGGTAGACACCTCATAAGACTACTGAAGATTTATTTACGTCTTATTGGTGTGTATATTTATTTGTAAGTAGACTAAAAGAGACTGAGATGGTTCATATAGGTATGTGCATATGTGCATATGTGCATATGGGTTGTGTTTGTTTGGGTTAAAAATACTCCATAAAACTATAGTAGATTGAAAGGGTCTATGGGTATTGATTGTTGAGTGAGATTAATTTGATATATGTTTATGATTCTATACAACTGGTAAATCTTGTTTCTCATCTATGGACGTAAATCGATTGAATCAAACTATGTTAAATTATTGTTTCTTGTGTGTTTGATTGATTATTTGATTATGCTTCTGCTGGTGTGACTGTATTGAGGCTTTTTGGCCTAACAAGTAGTATCAGAGCTGTGGTGATCCTTAACAAGTGATATCAGAGCTAAAGGTTCAAGACATGAGAAAAAATGATGGTTTAAGCCATGAGAAGAGGCAAACCTAGATGATCTCAATTCAAAAGAAGAGTTAGAGTTCATATTTTAAAGATTGAAGATCGATTTGCATGAAGCCTGAAGACACACAAAAAAAGGTAATTGTGGAACTTTCATTACAGGTGGAGCGAAGTATATCTAGTATGAAGACAGATGATTGATGAAA